GCGCGCGCGCGCGCGCACGCATGACGTAAAAAATCAGGACACACAGATTCCATAAATAAGTGTAAGTTCATTTAAATAGTATAATACAAGTACTTTTAATAAAGTTTATTTTAAGAGTTTGTGTAATGTATTATTTTGTGAAATCAATAGCATAAAACTTGCTTAAATTCATATTGTGTAATATGGTTTATCGCATTCTTGCCAAAGTGTACCCATTTAACCGAGTCAAATGTGAAACTTCGTGTGCATTTTCATCTCAGCGATTTACGAAGCTGTGCTGATAGCCGCTAGTAGAACACCGGCTTTTGTAATTCATGATCTAGAAAAGCCCCAGCAAGCTTTCGAAACGGGCGGCGACGAATACAGGCTTGCCTGTTTGTTTTCAACGCGCGACGAGTGTAACTGAACGTTTTCAACCGCAAAATGATGCTCGCGGTCACAGGTATCATGTAAACACGCACATTCAACGCAGCAAAACCGTCTTTCTCTATTTTTTTACGCCCTTCTCTGACATGCTATGCTTTTGTTCTCCTTTTATCACAAGCCCTTTTGCACTACATAGGTGCTCATTTGCACGTAGCATTGCATCATAACATTTAGTATCATCTCTTGCTACCGTTATCTCAAACATCATAATCAACAATATGATACACTTGAATATATGCAGGTACAAATACAGAAGCAAAAATTGCAGTAGATCTAAATCAAAGCGAGTATGCTATCCAGATGCAAATACAAGTTCAAGTATAGATCCAGATACTTATCAGGAACTCTCGCAAAATGTCAAATTTCAATTTTTAATGAAACTTTTATACATATAGATTACGTAAATAGGTGAATTTAAAAAAATATTAATTGCGGCCAATAAACGATTTTAAGGGGGGGAGGGGGTGAAACAATCCCTTTAAAAAGCAATTTTCAACTTTTTTGCTATATTTAAAAAATTATTCAAAATGTCAAACAATAATTTTGTATAAAAGTTTTATAATGTGAAATTACCTCTATTTATCTACGTTAATAATACTTTGTAAAAATAACTTTAAAAATATATATTTGGAAAATAATTATCTTTAAAAAATATTATTGACGTATATAAACAAAGAATTTTATAATAAAACTTTTATGTAAAATATATTTTTTTATCTTAAAAGTTTATCTTTATATCTTAACAAAGAAAGTTAAAAACTGTTTTAAATAATATAAGTGGTAATATTTTTTAAATTCATCTGTTTACTTAACCTATATATATACTAAAAACGTTCAACTTCCTCCTCTCTAATCGATTTGATATAATCATTTCTCCTATAATACTCCATAAATCTCATTTTTCGGCAATTGAGATTTTACCTACATTTTAACGCAAAAGGATTACGACGCGGATTTGGGCGCGCAGCGTATGTCCAATTTATCGTCCTGTTATCATTCATGTTCATCGATCGAGGCAATATGAATGCAATCATCGTCGCGGCAAAGACATAAAATTTACTGCATCGGCCGTAAAATTTACCGTTGACCAGAATGTTCACCGACTGCACATTCGCTGTCCGCGAAATAGTTACAAGTAACCAACGATTGAAAATTACCGAGAAATCTAATCTAATACAAGGCATCTCCGTTCTCGGTCTCCAATGATAACGCCATATCTTCTTAAGATTATTAAACGCGGTTTAAATTACTTTCCATTGCAATTTCATTATGATTAGCGCTAAAATTTTTATACTGCAGTGCGGATGCTACTAAATTGATTTAAGAAATATCAGCGCACGGAAATATCAGTAAGCGTTACTCTATGACATGGCTTAGCGAGATGGCGGCAAGAGATACGGCACGTCTCTGATTGCGTTTCTTAGCTTACAGCTACCCCTTACTGTCCATCCCGTCTGTCACCACCCCTTTCGGTACCCGCGCCGACCGTACTTGTCTCTTCCCTTCTGCCTTCTCCTCTCTTAACAGCGCAGCTATTCTCTCTCGCGGTTTTTCTTTCAGTCCAGGAGAGTCCCAGGGTCGGTTTAACTCTTCAATCTCAAAAGTTCTTTAAACTTTAGTCTTGCTTTCTATATACGACAGCGTGTATATATACTCGTATTTTCAGTTATTATTCTTAAGATGCAGAAGAATTTATTAAACACACATATTTGACTATATTTGACCAAGTACGTAATTGTAGGTACGTTACAAATTATTAATCCTTAATTACTATTTTTCAGACTTGCGTATCCCTCCTCGTTTTAACTATTTTAAGTTTTTTAAATCTTATATAATACAATATATAATTTCTTCTCATAAAATTTTTATTGTGTATTCATGAATGAAATAAAAATTAACAATCAAGACAGGATTACAGTGAAGTAAACGGACAATACGGCTGTAATAATAGAGACACTTAACTAAACTGCTCAAATAAAACAACCACTGCATGCCACATATGGGACACCGCTAACAATCCCCAAGAGGTGAAAATTTGCACGAGCGGCCCTGAACGGAGATGGCGTGCTTAGAGTAAATGGGGACGAGAAGAAGGGAGAAGCTTTACAGAATTAAGGAGCCATTCGCCTTTCATTAACTCACTACGAGCCCAAGGGGGAGAGATATTCCCTTCGTGCTAACTCATCCTCAGTTTATCACTACGTAGACGGTGGGAGGCGACTGTCTCCGATAGAAGGACTGGACTTTTATCCTGCCGCGAGGCCATTTACCACCGTCGCTGCGCTTGGCAAATAGGTAAACGAGATCTCTCCCGATTCTCCTAAACTCTTCAACCGCGATCTAGATTGCACTACTTCGTTAATCAAGACGATAAAACGCGCAATCCGTTTGCGTTTTCCATTCCTCTCTCATGTTTATCTTCCTTTGAACATCCTCGAGTTTTAGATTAAATTTGAAGTAATCGGCGGCTCTCGCCTTAATCGCTTCAATACTCCTTTAGAAAAGAGAAGTCCAATAAAGTAATTATAGTTAACGACTTCTAATTCATTTTCTCGTTTTCGCTGAAGAAACATTTGTTGATTTGGACATTAATGTTAAAATACAATTGAAGATGTCGCATTAACAAATATATAATTTCTAATAGATACGAATTATATAAAAATCGCCGGATATTCACTTAATGACAGATTTTCGAAGACATTTTGAAACAGAAATCACAAAATAAAAATATCAAGGCTTTTTCAATAAGAACTGATTAAAGAGTTTACAAATCACAAAGCTAATATTTCGTGTCCATTCAAATAGGACAAAATAGAGTGGTAAAAGTACTGTCATTAATCGCTTTAACGATATTGGAATTATTATATAAAATTACAAGCATGTATGTACGGAAAGATCGATTTTGCTGAAGTATTTAAAAATTTAGTTAGTTACAGATCTAAAAATAACTTTGTTCGACCGTCCAAATAATTATGCAAAAACCTCAAGTATATGATGAACAATGCTGCAAAAATTTTTGACAGTCTAACAATCAGTTTAAGAATCCTTATACATAGAGGAAAGTCTCCTATTATGAGATAGGCGCCTAATATGAGATAGCGGCGTTTCTGCTAAACTAATAAACGCTATCTATTGGTTCCACCATAAATTTATTGCTCTTGGATTGAAAACTATTTAGTAGAAAGTTCATTATTAGATCATGCCTGTAGTCATTGTAAAAAAGATTTTAGAATTTGGATGTCTTCAAGTTTCATTGAGATGAGCCTTTAAACTTTGTTTATTATTTAATAAATAAATATTTGGTAATAAATTCTTCATGTAGTAATAGAGTAAGATCGTACTAATAGAAAAATACGGGATATATAGAATTGCTTAATTGCAGAAGTCAGATTTGATGATCGTAAAACCGTAAGGCGTGGAAATCGTAATATGAGGAGATACTCAGGGTATTTCTAATATGAAATAACCCATGTTGCTGTCATAGTGAAAATCGTTGCTAAAGTATAAATGTTATTGTACAATAATAAAAAGGATAACCGGAATGAACGTCGAGTGCCTATTTCTGCGATGCTCGATTCCAACTACTTGAAGACGAGTTTTGGGTACAATCTATCGCGTGCTAATTTTTTGCGCACGCTGGCTGTTTGTATTTTAGAAAGTTTTTTTAGAAGTTTTTTAATTGCAATACTGATATACTTTGCGTTTTATTATCAATTTCTCGGGGCATCTCATATTAGGAGCACAATTTGACTTTGCGATTTGCTCACTTTTAACATTTCTTTAATTTTCACAAAAAATGAAATTTGAATTAAATTTTATATAACATTATCTTACAGCTTATTAAATTCCCTTCAAAATGACCTATTATTTTTTTAAATTCTGCCCACAGATTTCTAGCATTTACCCAAAATGAACTCGGTATCTCATAATAGGGGCCTTTCCTCTAATTATTTTAATGATTTAACAAAATTATTATTTTCAGATCTGTACCTAACTAAATTTTTATACATATATTTCAACAGAACTGTTCTTTTCGTGTAAAATTATGACAAATGCTATGCACATTTTTAATAAGAAAACGTTATTATACATGTACACGGAAAAACGGTTTTGCTGATGTATCTAAAAATTTAACTGTATATAGGTCTAAAAAATTTGTTTGGATCATCAAAATAATTATGTAGGACGCTTAAACTGGTTACTAGAATGTTAAAACTTTTTGCAGCATCATCATCAACGTTTAAACGTTCTGCATAATTATTTTGATGGTCCAACAAAATTATTTTCAGACCTGTATCCAGTTAAATTTTTAGATCCTTTAATAAAATCGTTCTTTCCGTGTATTTCTCGCTCCGAGTTCCTTGTAGAAGTTAAATTTAAAATGTAACAAATTGCTTTAAAATAAAAGATGCATTGTGTTAAATATTTGTGTAATAATCCTCATGTAGGTACATTGTAACAAATTGGGAAATAGCCAAGGTCTCACAGATCCAACCGCACAACCGACGAATTAATCTTTACATGGCAGACGAGCCGTTCAAACCACGCATCGACTTTTCGGTGTTAAGACTTACCGGGATCGGAAGAGGGATGCGCTCTGGTGAGTCTGCAGAGTTGTAATGGCAGATAACGAGTATCCGCCCGTGGTGGTGACTTTGGCGGCGGTGGCGTCGCGCTCAGGAAACCGCGTTGAAGTTCCCAGCCCACTTCCTGGATGATCGAAGCCTTCCTGAAGTACGGCGTCACTTCCCGCAGGTACTTCACTGCAACAAGAAAACACGTCGTCAGTATATGTCGCAAAGCAGGTCAAGTAAAAATACAAATGTTTTTGTTTTATCTTTTAATTCTATCTAAACTCTCTCGGTGACTTACATAGGTAATATACCGTTACATGTAGGGAATATTATACAGTCTATTTTAGTTATATTGCTAAATTTTTATTCTTTTTCTCGCTCTATAACCTGAACATACACCTCCAGATTATCACCATATTACAGAAAACATATACAAAAACAATTAAAGATGTATTGCAAATATTTTTTTAATAAAATAAAAAAAATTAGTTAAAAATTACAGATTTTTCTTATGTATTTAATAAAATACGAAAACTTTGGTGATAATTAGAACCTGAATTAAAAATTATTTCAATAAAAAGTACACATGTTTGCAAAAAATAATTACAACAAAATGATAAAATTTTCATTTAAATCATAAAATTGTAGTATAAATAATGACCTTATTAAACTGTTTTATCATGTATAGGGTAAGATGGGGGAATATACCAGTTGGGGGAATATACCACTCGTTGTGTTTAACAATGATACCGATTAGCAGCGCTTGAGTTAGTGACACAGAATTATTTACAATTGTGTGCTTAAAGTGTTGCATAGGGAAGACCGGGGATAAAAGTAACATTTTGACTTTGAAGGATTATAACAGTTAAAATATAATATTTACATTAAAAAAAGTATATACCTTTAGATGTAGAATTTATTTAGTTACAAAATTTTTTTTGATTCAATTTTTCAATATAAGTAGAAAAAAGTTATGTTTGTTTAAAGACTATGAGGAATTTTGTTACAAACCAGATAGCACTGGACATCCCAAGGACGTCCATTTTAAGTCAAAATCACGTCCGCACGTCCATGGACATAAAATGAACGTCCTTGAGATGTCCGTCATACGGATGTTCTATTCAAACATCCTATGGATGTCCGAATTTGGATTTTACTTTTACTAAATGTTTTTCTTTATATTTTTATTATATTCGTATTATTTAACGAACAACCAACAACCAACAAGTATTGAATAACATACTTTTTATATATCTTATATAATATCATATTAATAATATTACCCAAACGATATTAGTTAATTCCAAAAAATTGTAATTTTTATTTTTATGAAATACCCAATACTTTTAAATATTTTTAATCAAATTTAAAATTGAAGACATTTACTGCAATATTGAACTAACTCACATTTAGTGACAGCGGAGAATATAAATAAGACAGTCAGAGGATGGTAGAGCATATATTCCAATAAACACGTATTATCATATAATAGGTGATTATTAATATTGCAGCAAGGTCTTTAATTGAAAAAGATGTCCAAAATTAGTCCATAATACGTCCATAATAGGTCCAAAATTGGATGTGTTCGGACATCCTATGGTGACGTACAAAGTTGTGACCAAATGTACATCCAATGGACGTCCATAAGACGTTTGACGGACATAATTTGGACTTCCTATGGACGTCCCAATGTCCAGAAACGCATGTCGAACGGACGTGCAATGGACGTCCTTATGCTATCTGGGAACCGTCCGAATCCCTGGGACGATTGTAACAGTACAGAGGGACAATTGTACCATACTATTTATAAATAAAATAATGGTTATTTTATTGGTTTTATTAATAAAAATACGTAATAAAGAAAGGCTCAAATAATTCAAATAAAACAAAATAAATCAGAAGAGCTACGAGCAATAACAAAAAAAATTTTAATGTATACATGATACAGTTGACATTAAGTAAAATAAAAATAAAAACAAAATAAAAATATGTCTACATTAAACTAAAAATATATCTACATCAGCTAATGTTTCGACCACCTTCATTTTCAAAATTATGTAAACAAGTATATATATGAAAGTGGTTGACTACGATAGATTAACGTAAATCACTAATTATAGATGTATAATGAAAATTATTAAAATTAGACCTTCGTTGTTCAGACCTGATTTCAGTTATATGTATAGTCGACGGAAGGTAGATCCTGGATTTACGCCAAACATTCAAATATTGCTGAGTATCCAATAATGAATAGATATAGTTGTCAAAAAGTAAATTCTGGATATACACCATGGTTCGATTACAAAAAGTATTCGCCAAATATAATAAAGTCGCTGATAATGCTATTGAGTAAATCGAAGTAACAGTCCTTCTTACAAAATCCAGATTCTACAGTATAAAAGTGAATAACTGACCCCAGGCATCGATGTTACTATTGTCCCCTAATGGTATTTTATGATTTATAGTAAATTTTTTAAATAAAAACCTAGATAAAAATCAACTCAAATGTGAAAAATTTCAACACAGATAATCATATTAAGATAATACATTATACCTTTGTTATAAAGAAAAAAAAAATTTTTTAATTTTGTGCACGCAATAATAAAAGTTACTTGATGCATGAAAAAAAGTAATTTCTGCTTCTGCACTAGTGCACGTTCTGCGAAAATCAGCATGTAACGAACGATTCTATCTGCACGGAAAAAAAGATTCGGTTCGTATAATTGAATTTCGGTTACAACAACCGAAATTTTCTGTTTTCTGGAGACCAGATGAAAACTCGGTTGTAAGAACAGAAAAATTCCTATGAAAGGTTTCCGCTACTCAGGCAATTGTT